CTGGAAGATTTGATCTCTCTTTGAAATGAGGAAATGAATCTCATACTCAGGTGCAAGAGATAATGCACAAGAAATGAGTAAAAATGAACTACATAAATCAATTCAGAATTTCCACGACTCAATTCAGTTAGGTCTATTGACCTGAGTCGAGTCTAAAATGAATCAATTCAAATTAGCATCCTGAATCAAGTCACGACCCTTAATGAATCAAATCAATTTGGAATTTTTAGACACCTGGCTGGATTCAAAATTGCTCCTGACTTGATTAGCGAAAACGAAATCAAAATCAACTTTAGAGACACTTTGATGAATTGATTCATGAAGTCCTTGAATTGAGTTAGAAGGAAAAAAAACTTTGAATCAAATAGGAAATACGTCTGAATCAATTCAAACAGCTGCGGCTTTTAGTCAACTTATCATAATGCATGGATAACTTCTTTACCATGTGTTTGATGATTAATAAGTAAGAAGCCTCAAATTAAACAATAAATGTAAAACAAAGCATCAAAATAACGAAATAACCGATATGTTGATAGAGGGAAATTTCACGGATCACCCACACATTTTTGAATAAATGGTGTTTACACAAATGCATTTTCGGACACATTTTTTATACACATGGAGATGCATTTTCGAATTAAATTTTAACGTAAAAAGGGTGTCTATTAATTAGGCATGAGAAATGATTAACAAAGTGCGTCTGAATATGTATCTCCATACGCTAGGGACATTATGAACTTGTTCACGGAAGTGTGGAAACATCCATACGAATGGAAAAAACATTTCTCTAAGGGTCTGTTTGGTTCAAATGAGGGGGAGAGGAGGGGAGGGATTTTAATGAAGGGGAGGGGAGGTGAAGGAATTTTTTAATCAAATAAGTGTTTGGTTCAAAAGAGAGGAGGGGAGGGGAGGGGAGTGATTTTAATTAAAAATGTGTTTGGTTCAAAAGGGGAGGGGAGGAATTTTATTAATAATTTACATTTTTATCCTTATGATCTTATATAAGTCATATGATATTAAAATGTGAAAAATTCGTGCGTATTTTTGTTGGTAATAAAATTTCTAATATTGAGTGATTAAAAAAATACTTATTTGTCACATAAAGTTAAAAAATTGAGTACAATCGATCCGACTTATAATTTTCAAACATAAATTAAACTATATGCCAATAACGTCGTTTAAATTGTGATGAATCATATAACAAAATAAATATATAAAATAACTTATTACTAATATTAATGGTTCAAAATATTTAATAAAATGAATAAACAAAAATAAATAAAATGATATGATTTACAATTTGATATAAAAGAAAATATGATAGAGTACATAACAAAATTAAAAGAAAAAAACGAATATAACGAAACATAATTTTTTTAATAAAAAAAGACAATGATTATGATTTATATTAATTATAAAAATTATAAAATAATTTGAAGGTGAAGAACAATTATAATAAGTTGATGAAAACAATCGAGAAAAAACAGTAACACAAAAGATAACAAATAGTTTTGAAATAATAAAATTAAACTGATGATATTTTAGTAAATATAATAATTTTTAAATATCAAAACTCATATTCCCTCCCCTCCCCTCCAAATTCCCCCAATTCGGAGAGAACCAAAAAATGTGTTTTGGAGGGATTTTGCTTCCCTCCCCTCCCCTTCCCTCCAAATTTCCCAAATTCGGAGGGAACCAAAAAGTGTGTTTTGGAGGGATTTTGCTCCCCCCTCCCCCAATGACTTGCCCAAACACTATGGTCGAAACAACATCTCTGTAAATCGTTTCACTATCAATCAACCTTACCAACTTCTCTCCATGGTGAAAGGAACGTTAAACACTTGCATGTTCTGAAATTAAAGATGACAACAACTATATAAAACAAACTACATTTCGAAACAACAAAGAACGACATTAAATCAAACTAACTTGTGACATTTCATATGCGTCTTGGCCTCGCTCTATCGTGACTCCGTCTTCTCCGACCGTGTTCGCCTTCTCAGCTTGCTATTTTGGGTGAAATTCCCAATTCCGAGGCCTAATTTCTCACGGGGATAATTAAGAAGAGAATTTATTTTTGAACTTATTTTTTAATCAAACGTGACATTAAATGGTCTAGATGCCAACTAGGAGGTCTTACTTACACAATCAGCAAAATAGTGACACAAAGGTCTTCATTGATGGAATTTGGATTTGGTAGGGGATCACAAAAACAATTCTTGTAGGGGAAAACCAAAACTCGATATAATGGTAAAAATAAAGATAAAAATGTAAATTATTAATAAAATCTCTCTCTTCCTCTAATAAACCAAACAATTTTTAATTAAAATCTCTGTATTCCTCTCCCCTCTCCTCTTTTGAATCAAACATATATTTAATTATTAAAATTCTCTCACTTCCTTTTCCTTTCCCTTCTCTCCATTAAAACATCTTTTCTTCCCTCTCATTCATTTGAATAAAACTGACCCTAATAGTATACTGCATGTTGCCAATGATGATAATAATAATAATAATAATAAAAGTATCAACAATGACTTATAATACACAAATATTCTATGATTTTCTTTAGAGTGAAAATTGTGATCCTGAATTTCAATTTCTTGCCGTGGCCTTCGATAGTCCATGAATAAATCACATTTTGTTTTTGTAAAGCCGTGAATAATATAGACAATTTTTTTTAAATTACCATTTTTCAACTTAGTTTTTAAATTAATTTTAACTATATATCAAATTACATATATTTCAAATAATTTTTCTTTACAAGGGTAAGCTAACTTGTGCTTTAAATGCACACGTTTAAAAATTCATTTTAAAAAATTTATATTGGAAAAAATAATAAAAAAATTAATTTTATATTTTTATTTAAATTAAAGTACAATTTTTAAGATAATATTTATTCGAATAGTTCTTAACTTGTGTTCATATAGTATAAGTTAACATTACCCTTACATTAAATAACAAGCATCAAATAAATTAATATTTATGTGTGAAGGGTGCTACATTCATGTGCAAATTTCATTGACGCTTATTTGTATTAAGTTAAAAATTAAAATAAAATTTAATTATTTTAAAGAATTTATAAAAAAATTTAAAAAAATTTTAAAAACAATAATATATATTTATTTTTTATAAATTCTACTCGGTCCCAAAATAAAGGTTATAGTTAACACTTTCACATAGATTAAAAAAATTAAATAAATGTAAGAGAATAATGATTTTACAATATTACATTTACCAACTATTAATGTATTCGGATTAACATTAATGTATATTGAAAAAACAATAAATTAATTAGAGGGTAAGATAAAAATTAAAATTTCATTGATAAAAATGACAAGTATTTTGAGATAAATAATTTTACTAAATATAACATTTATTAAATAAATAATTTTACAAAACTTAAATTATTATGTAAGTCAAGATAGGTTGGTTCAAATAAATCTTAAAATTATTTGTCTTTTAGCCTGATAGTATGTTAAATATAAGTAATTATTTATTTAAATAAGTTAAAATAAAATAAGTTAATTATAATAATTTGTGTAATTATAATATTTTTTTATAAATAAACTATTGTTTTGTTAAATATATTCATATTATAAAAAATATCAATATTATTAATATATTTTATTATTAATCAAATCTCATTTTCTTGCATTTTATATTAAATAGTATTAAATTTTATTATTTAAATCGGCTGTATATTATTTCTTAAAACACATATTTGAAAATATCTAAATATCAAAATTAAAAATTATATTTAATAATAATAATAATAATAGAAAAAATATAATTTCTTAACCTTTGATAATAACCTACAAATTAAAAAAAAAATTTTCTGAACACTTTTTTTTTTGTTTTTTTTGCAAAAGCGTTCAGACGGACACTCGCGTTAATGGATACACATAAAAATTTAAATAATATTTTTTATCTAATATTAATTTAAAATGAAAGTTATATTAAAATAAAAGTTATTATTTAAGTTACATATTAAACATTAAAATAAAAGTAAAATTAGTAGAACAATAGGTTACACCAAATTATTATGTTTTGTTTATATATAGACTAGCGTCCAAACGACCATTCAAGTGTCAGTCTATCCACTTTTTTAATATATACACGTAAAAATTTAAATGATATTTTATATTTAATTTTAATTTTAAATGTAAGTTATATAATGAAAATTATGTAGGAAATTAATGGCAGAAAGTTACGTAGGAAGTTATCTATAGTAGTGGTTTCAATAGAAGTTATTATATAAATTACACATTTTAAATTTTAAAGTAAAAGTAAAATTAGTAGAAAAATAGGTTACACCAAATTATTATGTTTTGTTTTTATATAGACTAGCGTCCAGACGGAAAGTGTCCGTCTGTCCGCTTTTTTAATGTTTAGATGTTTAAAATTATGAATGTATTTTTTGTGTGTTTATTTTTTATTTAAATTTTATATAAAAAATTTGAATGAAATAATTGTGTAAAGTTAATAAAAAAAAAGTTAATAAAAAAGAATTAAATTTTAAAATAAAAAGTAACAAAATATTTTAAAATAAAAATAGACTATATCAAATCTAAATTTTCTCTTTATATATCTTATTAATTATAGATTAAAGAATAAACAAATAAACCCCAAAAGTAATAATTTTAAAAAACGAACCTTTTCGGCATTTTAAAATTAATTTAAATAGCTTATCAAATACTGCACCCGTAAAAAAATAAAAATCAAATACGGCATTTTATATTAATTTTTGACTCAATTTGTATTACATTAACCCATATCCGTAAATAATAATTGGTTAAAATTTAGTATGAAGCGTTCTCTGTAATCTTCCCAAAATTTGAACCGCCAAAGACGAATTGAGTTGGCGCGTGAGATAATAGAGCGCGGTTTTCAAATTCAAATCCAATTTCAAAAACTAAATAAAACTCTTCTTCTATCACCGACCACCGTGATAGAAACCCTAGTTGAGTTCCACTCTGAACTTGCGGTCAGCGATAACGAAAATGGGCGATCTTGAAAGAATGGGCAGAGAACTCAAATGCCCAATCTGGTATGAATTTGATTGAATTGAATTATTTATCACTCTCTTCTTTATTCGATTTCTTCATGATCTTGCTTGATTCATCACGCAGTTGGAGTTTGCTAAATTCTGCTTCTTCACTCACCTGCAATCATCTTTTCTGCAAGTAAGCGATTCATTCGATTTGCTCTCTCATTCATTCATTTCATTATTTATTTCTTTACGATTATGGTTTTTCATTTTTTTCAGCTCTTGTATATTTAACTCCCTGAAATCTGCATCTTCTTGTCCTGTATGTAAAGTACCCTTCACTCGTAGAGGTATGTCGATCTCATCAATCATCATGATACTGCATTTAATTTGTTTGTTAAACCTAGTTTAATTATGCATTTGCATAAACCCTAATTGATCAATTATTTGATTTCAGAGGTTCGCGCTGCTCCTCACATCGACAATTTAGTTGCGATCTACAGAAACATGGAAGCTGCTTCTGGGACTAATTTTTTCACTCAAAATACGTCTGATACCAAATCACCAGGTTATTCCAACTCATTTCATTGCATTCTTTCAAATTTTACCATATTATTTGTTTGTTTGTTTGTTTATTGATATGGATTGTTATACTAGCAACACAATTTCTAACACACTATTCTCGAGATGGCTTTTACTGTTGTTAAAATTCAAATGTGAATGTCGGTCCTGTATAATTTACTGAACCCATGTGAATTTTAACCTATAATATAGTGATTGCAATTGAAATATGCTTACTATGTGTCATCTGTTAATTAGTTGTGCACTGTTTTTTCTTTAGTTGTATTGGCATACTATGTTTTTAAGTGTCTCTCTTCAATTGACAAAATTAGTATACTAACTATATCATGTTATAGATGATGAAAAACAACATGAAGGTAATGCTGAGTCCAGTGATAGGGGATCCGATGGAATTCAAGAAAATCATGGCGACGAGGAAAATACCCCTTTGAGAAAGAAGTCTAAGAAGAAGCTTAAGGCTGGCAAGAAAAGTCCGGCTGCTAGCCGTGCGAAACCTTCTTTTCCTGCTAAGAAAAGGGTTCAAGTGCCACAAGATATTCTTTCAGAAACCCCACTTAAGGATTTGAAGTCAAGAGGGTCTCTAAGTAGAGTTAACAAAGAGGGAACACAAAAGGCTTTAACCAAGGGAAAAGAAATGGAAAATCAAAGTAAAAAAGGTGATCATGTGAAAGAACCATTCTTTTGGTTAAGAGATGAGCAAGAAGGTGAGATGTTAAGTGGACGCACTGATGAAGATCAAATTATTGAGGGTTCAACGCCAGTTCCTCCTTCATTCAGTGATCTTAAAGATGCCGATGATGAAAGCCCTACAAAACAAGCTCCATCAGTAAGTACATGGCTCATAACAAAATATTGAGTTATTTGAACTTATGAGAAAAGCCTTTGGTATTTAGCTCTTTCATTATAATTTGTTTAATTTTTGTTGTTTTTTGGACTTAAATTGAAAAATTATTATTGAGAAAAGCAAGCCTTGTTGAAGTCACTCTACTTCAAATTTGGTTTAATTGAAAATTGTATATTTTTTGCGGAGTTGAAATTTTCCTTGATAGGAAATACATGTTGGTTAAATTGTTTTAGCTTTGGATTAAGTTAAAACATTAATAGTTTCTGTCGTGATTGTTCTGCAGGATGAGGTGCAAAACATACCATCTGTTAATTTATTTGACAGTGAGATGTTTGAATGGACGCAAAAGCCATGCTCCCCTGAATTATTTTCAAGTCCCACCAAAATGCAGGTATTGAGAATTGTATCTGCATGTTTTTCATACATGATTTAGCTTGTTGCACCTAGCTTAGTTATTGAAGTTTAATTAAGTTTTATGTTAACTGCAGGTTGAGGATGCTGTTGAGATTGATGAAATTGATGAGGAGTTAGTGGAAGCATCTCAAGTGCATCAGTCAAGTGCTGATGCTTACAGTACACAATTTGCAAATCCAAATGGTAATCAATTGGCTAATACATTACCCCTGGGTATGTCCTCTCAAAATAGAAGTTCTGATGATCTAAATGGAAAAAAGAAGTCTACAAAAAGAAGCAGGAAGGCTAGGGAAAAATACAGGCGAGATCATATTAGAGAACTAAATTGCCGAAATGATGTTATGAATATGGATTCAAATATAACATCCAAAGCCATTGAGGAGCAATCATTAGGCCACAAAAGCAAAGCTTCTATCCTGAAAAAGTCTAGTGGAAGGGCCAAGAAAGTATGTTTTGTCACTAGTGCAAACTTAACATCTCAAAATGCTTGCACAGTCTCCAATATATTAGGAGCTCAAAACAATGATGAAAGGAAGATGAATAAGAATTCATATGGTTCATCATCTAAACAAGATAATGAGATGTTATGCCCTAAGATTGCTGGAAAAAGTCAGGTGAAAAGATCTGGAAAGGAAAGGCTAGATGTTGTGCATGACCAACCTGAAGATTTAACCTCAGTGCAAAACCAATGCAAAGAGCTTGCTGGATCTGCTTCATCCAGTTTAAGTCCATTGATGGGTAATAATAGAAACACTAACAATACCAAGAAAAGAAAAAACAGTTTGTCCAAAACATCTATGCCTTGCAGTACAGAAAGGAAGAGTACTAAAAAGTCAAAACCTTCCCCTGAACTTATCTCTAGGACTAAAGATGTTAAAGAAACTAAGCCAAATGAATGTACTAAGAAAGTTACTGATGTCAGGGCACTGAATGATTCTTTGAAAGAGAAACAATGTCATTTGACAGATCAGCCAGTCTTGATGAAATGCGCGAGTCATGCCAAAAAGTATCAGTGTGCTTTCTGTCTCTTGTCAGAAGAATCAGAGGTAAAATTTTCTACTTGTTAATCTTGTCATCATTATAAATGGTCTGGGACTTACATTACACTATTCCAAATACAGGCTTCTGGCACCATTGTGCACTATTTTGATGGCAAGCCTGTAACTGCTGATTATGAAGGAGGATCTAAAGTCATACATTGTCACAGGAATTGCACAGAATGGTATTGATTTTTGTATGAGGATCTAAGGTCATATTTATTAAAGTGGATTTGGTTAACTACTGCTGGTTATCCTTCAAATAACTATATAGTTGTCTACAGTTGATTTAGTCCAGTTGATTTTTGTAACTTGTTATATTTTCAATTTGGATTTATAAGTTATGTGTTTTACATATGCATCAGGGCCCCAAATGTATATTTTGAAGGTGATAATGCAATAAATCTTGAAGCTGAAATAAGTAGAAGTCGGCGAATCAAATGCAGTTTTTGTGGACTTAAAGGAGCTGCACTTGGTTGCTATGAGAAGAGTTGTCGCAGGAGCTTTCATGTTACTTGTGCCAAATGGACTCTTGAATGTCGTTGGGATATGGTACATGATAAAACCAAACTTCATTTAAAACTTGATGGTTAATGCCTCCATTTCCTATAACAGACGTTTAATATTATCTACCCAAATTGTACTTATTTTTTTCTTCAGGAAAATTTTGTCATGTTATGTCCTCTACACGCTACCTCCAAGTTACCATATGAAAGTTCAGGATCTCATCACAGGAGCAAGACACTTGCAGCTACCAAAGCTAAAAGCTGTAGCCTCAAACATGACACTGCAAGCCAGAGTCGAATTGCTCATGGATCTCACAAGAAAATTGTTCTGTGTTGTTCTGCTCTATCTTTACAGGAGAGGGTAAAATAATTGCATATTATATTTATTCAGAAATTTCATTGTTAAAAAGCAATTTATGTATTACTTATTTATGTTTGAAATTGTAGGATGTTGTTTCTGAATTTGAAAAAGTGTCCAAGGTTACAGTTTCAAAAACTTGGGATTCTAGTGTTACCCATGTAATAGCATCAACAGATGAAAATGGTGCATGCAGAAGGACTCTCAAAGTATTGTTGGGTATTCTAGAGGGAAAGTGGATTCTCAGCATTGAGTGTAAGTTCAGGTTTTTTTTTTTGTTTTGTTTTTTCTTTCCTACATAAGGAAAAATCATAGTAACTGTCAAATAATTTCTCATGTTTTTTCCCCTGCTTTGGTTGCCCTGCAGGGATCAAAGCTTGCATAAAAGAAGCTGGACCTGTTGATGAGGACTGTTATGAAGTTAATGTTGACATCCATGGAATTAAGGATGGTCCCCGTCTAGGCCGACTAAGAGTATTGAACAAGGTTAGATATTTCATAATTGTCATGCTATGAGTAGTTATTTTTGTTCTTCAAGAAAGTGGTTCTAATGTGAAAGAAATTGAAACAGTGACACCCCCTTCTATTTGCTACCATGCCTTTTTTTTTGCTTTGGTTTTAATTACCACAGCTTATTTTCATAAACTTTATCCAAATTTGTATCTTTTATACACCATTCTTAATATGTATTAGCTGACCTCTAATTTCTTCAATGCATAATGAAAGATTACATGATAACTTTTCTTGCCTAGAAAATTAGATGCAAGTAGCTGATATATTCAAGTTTATATACCATAACTCAAAGCAAAGCATGGAAAGGGAACAGTGAGATTTTTTGGAAATAGCTGCCTATATTTATTTACTATTTGTTATAAATTTGATAGTTGGATGCATATCAATTGAATTAAGCTAGAACTGCCTTCTATTTCAATAATATTTCTTTGTTTGCAGTTTAAATAAACTTGTGATTTTTGTCGATAAAATTTCTTATGCAGCAACCTAAGCTTTTCGATGGCTACAATTTCTATTTCATTGGAGATTTCATCCCATCATACAAGGGCTATCTGCAAGATCTTGTGATTGCTGCAGGAGGGATAAATCTGCATAGAAAACCTGTATCAGGTGACCAAAATGCAATGCCACATCATATGCGTCCGCACCAAACCCTCATAATCTACAATCTTGAGCTTCCTGCTAATTGCAATCCTTTGGAAAAGGATGCAATTTTCAGCCATAGGCGACATGATGCAGAGGTTTTGGCAAGATCTACCGGTTCAATGGTTGCAAGTAACACATGGATTCTGAACTCCATTGCTGGCTGCAAGCTGCAAAGTGTTGCTTAATAAAGTTTATTTGCCATTCACATGCACATGATTCTAAATCAGTGTTTTCCTTTTCTTTATTTATAAACCTATAATATACTTTTTAAGACTATATGTTTAATAAATTTCTGGTTTGTTAACGCATGGCTATTATATATGTTCTGAAATACAAGTCAGATTTTGTTAGTTTTCATCCTGTTGGGTGTTGCATAGTTAATTTTGTAGGTATAATTTGGATAAACATCAGTCTCATGTTAATTACGGACATAGTGTGATGATGAGATTGTAATTCATTTTTGAGATAATTAAAATGAGTATGCTAGATTTCTTAAACCTGTTCTTGTCATGGTGCCCATTTTCTATTGATCCCAGTCTTATCTTCTCACGTGTTCATTTACATGTGGTTTTTTCTTTTTCTATATTGAAATTCACATTTCATGTTATGTTCTCATGTTTTTTTTTGTTTGAATATGAAAATGCGTTATTTGTAAACACTACTTTATATGAATCAGATTGAGCGGAACAAGATTTCAACATGGAATATGCACACACAGAGGACAAGAGTCTGTTTTTTAAAACAAGTCTTACACCATCAGAAATCTAATTTCAGATAAGTCGACATCCCAAATATCTTCTGACCATTATTCTATGGTCAGTTTTTTTTTGGCTAATGGCTCCCTTTCCTTTCATAGTCTAAAAATATGCTATCTAGACAGTGAAAAGTAGACAAAGTGGGCTACAAGTGAATAATGGCATGCTGTACAAGAATGATAGTTTCATAGTGTCCATTAATGCTGTACAAGAATGATAGTTTCATAGTGTCCATTATCTTCCCCTGTAAACCACCCTTCTCATCTTTGCCTTTTCCACTTACAGATTTAGCTTTTGGATAAACATATTAAGTTTTTTTCTCTGTAAGTTTTGATATTTTCATGCTAAGAGATTCAAGCATATGCTCTAAAACTGATACTTCCTCTTTGACATCACTTGTCTCTAGAGTAGTATTTACCATTTTTTCCTTGAAGTCATGAATCCTGTCAATGCCTGATTGAACTTCTAACCCCATCTGCTCGATTGTAGCAAGCATTTCCCCTTTTTCCCCTTGCATGTCTTTTACTTTCCTCTTCATAGACCTGTAACCATCAATGGATTTTAGAAGTTGTTCAGAAAGAGCCTTGTTACGCTCTTGAAGGACTATATTCCCTTCCATTTCAACTCCACCCGCACTACAAGCATGCAACTTCCCCATCAACATGTCATTCTGAGCTTTAAGATCCCCGATAAGCTCCTCTAGTTCTGTCAATTCTTGAGCCTTTCTAGCAAGTTCAGAAGCCATGATTTGCTTTTCTTTTCCCAAACTCGAACACATCGCTTGAAGACTCTGCCGTGCCACCAAGCTTGCAGTTAGCTCTTTCTTTAGTCTCTCTTTATCATCTACAGGCACATCAGGAGCTTTTTTGTCCTTCGGAATGTTTGGCCTAAGGTCAGTGTTACACCTCCTAAGTTCAGCTCTTTTCTTGGTAGAATGTTGAACCTTTTGAACCCTTGTCCTAACCTCATCTAAGAGAAACATCATACCATTCACCCTATGAAACTTCCTCTCATCGTTTTCCTTTGTGGTAGCCCCGTTATGATCTTGAATTAGTTTCAACAATAATCTAACATTTGTGGCAAGGCCTAATTGCAAAAGGAAACAAAATAATTAAAGATGATTCATCAATCACATATACGCGGTATGTTTGATTAATTTCTTTGATCATTTTGATTCCAAGATGACGAAACATGTCCTGGACTTTTAGTAACAATTGTTGGATAATTCATTTTGTATACAAAACTATAAAAAGTTGAATGTGTAACAAAAGACATTACCTTCCATACCAAGTTCTTGCTGTACATTGTTATTTGCAGTTAATTGAGGAGATGAAAATGCCCGGACATGATCCATCCTATGTCAACAATTGGTCAGATTTCAAGAGGGAGAATCAATAATGATAAAAGATATGATATAGTTTTATTTATTTTTTGTTTTGTTTTGTTGTTGTTAATTTCCAATGTTAGATGTATTGAGAGATCCAAGAAGAGAGAACTACTTTTGTAGTCTTTCTTCTTCCTCTTCTCTCTCTGAAAAGAATTGATGTTAATGTTTCTAAAATTCTAACATAGTATTGTGTATTGTGAGGTTAGTTCTAAGAGAGAGAAGATTTTATGTTTTTGTTTCTGAATTTCTAATATAGTATTGTGTATTGTGAGGTTAGTTCGAATGGAAGACAAAATGGTTCAAGGTTGATGCGCAATTATTGCTTAGAGTTTGACTTTTTTAATGGTTGATGCGAAATTAAGGCTCTAAATAAATATATAAGTTATCTTTATTCTTAAGATAGAAGATTTTTTCTACCAAATATATGTAAAAAGAAAAAGAAATTTGAAGAAAAACAATTGACATCTATTAACACCAAATGTGTGTAGGTATTTGTACCACATCTGCACAATTATTTATAATTATATTTAATAATTTATTTTCTAAATTATTATCGATGTCATCGTTTTAGTGTTGAGATTGTGTTTGGAGTGTCTATAATTCGTAAGTTGATATACAAGGTTTTGTTTTGTTTAATATATTCTCGGCATTCTATAATGAGTGATCTAATTGACATTTCACTTCAATTAAAAAAATTAATGAAATAAAGATAATAATATTTTTATTAAAGTAAAAATAATATTAATTAGATGATAGAATTGAAAGAAGTGTATTGAAAATTAAAAACATTTTTTATTTATTTTAAATGAGTCATTATGGAATGAATGGATTATCGGTTTGGTTTGTTGTTGATAGTTCATACCTATCTATAATATAAGAAATCTATGTGTTCTGGAAATCACTAAAATACCCTTATTTCTACTGCCGCCATGTCAGCAAAAATTAGATATTGAGTCAAATTCCAACTATTTTTAACCATGATTGTGGTTTGATCTCATTGCAACTACACTATTACTACTACTTAGGGCAAAATATTGGCATTTGGTGACGAACAGTGTCAAAATTTAAAGACATCATTTCTTCCTCCCAAAATCTTCTTTTTCTACTTTTACTAACTCCATCTTTCATCTTTCACATCACTAACTTTCTTTCTTACTTTTTCACTCTCTTCTTTAACCTTTTCTTTTTAACCTCTCTCTTATTTCTCTTTCTTATTCTTTTCTGATTTGCAATTTCCTATCTCATTTCTCTTTCTTCATTTTTTTCTCTGCTCTTTTTCATCTCTTTCTTCTTCTTCCTTCACCGAAACTGCATTTAGGGTTTATTGCAAATGGAGGTAATGAAAAGAGGATAATTTGTGGTTAGGGTGTTTAAAATAGAAATTAAAGTTCTTAGTCATCTAAAACATCCAAACATTGTGTAGTATTAAGGTAGTGAAATAATAAACACTCTAATTAATTATTACATGTCCTATGTCCATGATAAATATTTTTTTTTATAGAACTGCAACACAACCTAATAATTAGTTATAATATATTTATGTTTGTGTTCTTAGGTTAAAATTTAAATCTGGCATGAGGGATGAACATTTGTTTGAAATTCAACCTTTCAATTTTCATACAATGTGCAATTAGAAAGTGGAGGCAAAATTGTGATTTAGCATGTCTCATGCTATTTGTTAATAATAAAATTTGCTTTGTCTTTTTCAAAAAAAAATTATATTAAATTGATTTGTATGAGATTACAAATATATTATACAAAAAAAATTATGTATGCCAACTGATGTATCTGGTGATATAGTGAGTTTGAGAATAGTGCAAAACAGTATAAAAAACACAAAATAATAATAAGAAATAGTATTGATTACCTATAAATGTCATGTCATGAGTAGCTTGAAAAAAGGGTGGGTCAATAGATAAATAGATACCATCATACAAAAAAGTAGGGGCCATTTGAAATATCATCAAGACTTTAGATATATAATATCCAATTGATAGAGATATAAAGAATATGAGACTGAATCAATAGCTAAATAGATTCCATCTTACAAAAAAGTAGAGGTCATTGGAAATATCATCAAGACTTTAGATATATAATATTCAATTGATAGAGATATAAAGAATATGAGACTGAATCAATATAAACTAAACACAATTTAAAATATTCACGTTGTCGTTAAAAATTAAATCTAAAAGAAGGTTTTAGATATATAATATCCAATTGGTAGAGATATAAAGAATATGTTACTGATTCACTATAAACTAAACACAAATAAGAATATCCACGTTGTTGTTAAAAATTAAATCTAAAAGAAGCATGATAACAATTTTGCAAAACAACATATAAAATTGAGATGACGTTTAATAACAATTGAATAACAATTTTTGTTATTTATATAGATATTAAATTTGAAAGCTGAAAAACTTTAATGACATATATATTTTAAAAAATAATTTGTAAATCTCTTTTATTTGTTCTATTGAAAAGTATCATATCTCTATTCCAATGAAAATTTATTTGATAAAGAGAATTAAAAAATTACATACTTCTTCTAATTTAAATTATAACACTGGTTAAAAAACTTATTTATTATAAATATAAAATATTCTACAAATTCTTAAAGTGTTGGATTTTAAGATATTATATTCAAATTTGACTCTTATTATATCTGTTTGACTTTCAATTATCTGCCATTAATAACTAAAGCGTGCTTTACATTTTAATTGTAAATGAAATAGTTTTTTTAGAAACTAGAAAGCTTTATAAGGGATGTGTATCTTTATATTTATAAATGAATATCATACACAACCTTTAATAGCAAATTTTATTTAATATAATAATTGTTATTTTATTAATTTTGATAATACATAATTTTAAAATATATATTTTTTATTTTTATTCTTTAATAGCAAATTTTATTTACTATTATAATTTTAAAATATATAATTTTATAGTGAAAAAAAAATTATATTATTGATATTCCATATAGATATATAACAAAAATGAATTTATTTTTATATAGGAGAAAAAATATATTATTGTTATAAATATTTTTATATACAGAGTCAAAACTAAATTAATTTTTATATTGTAAAAAAATGTATTACTGATTCAAATATTTTATTAAACAATATTATTTTTATAAACCAAAAAAATATATTGTTGACACTTTGACATTACAATGTAAACACTTTATTATTATTTTAGAGAATGTCAATGTACTCTTCCATTATAATAGTCAATATAAGATTTTCTATATTCTATAGTGATCTATATCTATATCTATAGTGTTTTGAGACACACACCACAAATCATAATTACTATACTCTTTCATTATTTTCGGAAATGTCAATATAAGATTTTCTATATCTATAGTAACCTATATTTATATTTATAGTGCTTTGAGACACTGACCACAAATTATAATTATTAATGAACTCTTTAAAATTTTTTAAATACATTTTTGAAATGACTAATTCTTTAATTTAATATTTTATTTATTATTATAATTATATAATTTAATACTTTATTTATTGTTATAATTGTATTAATTTAAAATGACCATAATAGTTTCAACATATAAGAAATCTATGTGCATAATTTTACCAAATTATGTCATGTGAATTGATGGGGAGAGAGTAATTTTTATCAAATTAAAGTGGATATGAGAGAGAGAAAATGACATGGGTGCGGTAGTATGTGGGAGAAAATAGTTTAAATGTGTGGCTGTGACAATATAAGAATAAAAGGATGTAAATCTAAAGATTAAAAAGAATTATGAAAATATTGAGGGGATGGTGGGTGTCGTGTGACAGCAATTATAATGCTACTTTATAGGTTGAACTATGAATAAGAGAGAGTGATTGTAACTAACTAGGTTGAGAAATAGAGATATGCTAAGCTCATAGCTTATAATGAAGAGAAAGTGGCTTAACATTACACATAATATTTCCTCAATTTATACCTACAATCACTCATCATATTTCCATGCATGCATGTGGTTTTAAGCGTGATAAACGACCCTACACACCACCTATGTATTTGGAGAAGACTTTAAAATACAGTTTATCAAAGACGAATTTTGACCTAACATCAATCCTTTGTTATGTATGTGGTGAATTGATGTCGTTAACAATAAATTAAAATATGAGAAAAATATTAGAGTTTAAAAAAGGGAGAGAATAGGGAAGAAGAAGAATAGAGAATTAGTTAGAACTGTTTTACTATTCACTTTCTCAATAAAAGTTCAAAGATTACAAGTGAGTACTAGCCATTAACCTCTCTCAACAACCTGAGAGAACTAATCTATTTGTAGACTAATAAGCTAACTTAATAATTGGGCTTAGAAGTAAGACCCAATCCCACATACTAACTTAACAATTGGGCTTAGAAGTAAAACCCAATTTGACATTATGCTCGAACAGACTTTGACTACAACATACCCAACTCCTGTCGAACCATGAAACTAACATTGTTGACAATAGAGTTCGATCCAAATATCACAAATATCCATCTTGGAACAAACTCTACACAAACAAGGGAACAAATTAGCTTTCACCATCCATGGCTTTCAGCCATTCAGTCTTATCTCGACTTCTCATAACTTCCTTATAGTCTCTAGGTTCTTCGTTTAAAATCTCATTTGTAGAGATTAAAGCATAAGATATAAGATCTACATAACCAAGTCTCTGAGGTGGCTTGGTGACTCTTCTCAACCTGTCTCTTGTCAGGAAAGTTATTATTAGTCTCCTCATCTTCACCAGTAACTTGATATTCTTTTTTGACTTCATCTGAATTATGCAATTCAGCATCACCATACTCCACCTCAACATGAATCTCTTCATGTTCAACTCTTCTTCAGAGATATTCGAACTTCGACCAATGTCATCAGTTTTCTTGAAAGATATCTCAACTTTATTGAAAAACACATTTTAACTTGTGATACACCTTTTGTGACCTGGATCTAG